ATCCACGGACACCGCAGCCCAACAACCCAACCCGGCACCCAATACTCACCCAATGCAAACCCGCTCCAAAGCCGGTGTCTTTTGTCCTAGACAAATTCTCAATCTTAACACCTCTGTCACCATCTCCCCGTTACCTCCAACCTACCGTAGTGCACTAAAAGATCCAAACTGGCATGCTGCTATGTGTGATGAATATAATGCCTTGATAAAGAATGACACATGGGAATTAGTACCCCCCCTCCCCCTCGCAAAACCTCATCACTGGTAAATGGCTCTTTAGACATAAATTTGGCCCAACCGGTGAGTTATCCAGGTACAAGGCCCGCTGGGTGGTTTGTGGTTTCAACCAACGTTTTGGCGTTGATTATGACGAGACTTTCAGCCCCGTTGTCAAGCCTGCCACTGTTCGTGTTGTCCTCAGTCTTGCTGTGTCTCGAGGTTGGCCCATTCATCAGCTTGATGTCAAGAATGCGTTCCTTCACGGCCAGCTGCAGGAGACCGTCTATGCCTGTCAGCCTTCTGGGTTTTTGGATCCCACTCGCCCTCACTATGTGTGCAAGCTCAAGAAGGCTCTATATGGTCTCAAGCAAGCACCTCGATCATGGTTTCACAGGTTTGCTGGCTTCATACAGACTATTGGGTTTAGAGGATGTAAGGCCGACACTTCTCTATTTGTCTTCTCTCAGCCCATGGGCACGGCCTATCTACTACTTTATGTGGATGATATAGTTCTCACAGCATCCTCGCCAGCACTACTACAGAGTCTCATTCAGCAGCTCAAGGCTGAGTTCTCTATGACAGATATGGGCGATTTGCACTTTTTCCTCGGGATTAATGTTCACCGCACATATTCTGGCCTCTTCCTCCACCAGACTCAGTTCGCGCACGACATCCTTGAGAGGGCAAGGATGGTTTCTTGTCAGCCCATCTCAACCCCGGTGGATACAAAGGCGAAGCTGTCTGCGTCAGCTGGCACGACGCTCTCTGACACCTCCCTTTACTGATCCATTGTTGGCGCGCTGCAGTACCTCACATTCACTCGTCCAGACATCACATATGCAGTCCAGCAACTCTGCTTACACCTCCATGCCCCACACGACGCCCAGTTTACAGCCATGAAGCGTGTTCTCCGGTATCTCAATGGCACTGCCACTCATGGAATTTACTTGACAGGATCCGCCACCGACTATCTACAGGCTTATTCAGACGCTGATTGGGCTGGCTGTCCTGATATCAGACGTTCTACTTCGGGCTACTGCGTTTTCCTCGGCGACAACCTTGTCTCATGGTCGTCTAAGCGCCATGCCACTACTTCTCGCTCCAGCGCCGAGGCGGAATACCGGGCTGTAGCGAATGCTGTTGCTGAAACCAGCTGGATCCGAAACCTTCTCCTTGAGCTCCAGCAGCCACTCCGTCGCGCCACACTTGTCTTTTGTGATAATGTGAGTGCGGTCTACCTTTCGTCAAACCCGGTGCAGCATCAGCGCACCAGGCGCTCGGTCAGATCAAAGTCCAGCATGTTCCGTCATCTTCTCAGTTTGCTGATATCTTCACAAAGGGACTGCCCTCACAGTTACTTCTTGACTTCAGAGAAAGCCTAGGTATCCGACCCCAGCACTGCCGACGTAGTCGGGAGCATGTTAAATATATATAATATATTTAATATTATTATATTATTATTGTTACCATATTTGTATAGGTTTCCTAGATTGTCTCTCCTACCTTAATTAGGATTGAGACTTTTGTATATATACATGTACTCTCCTCACAATTTAATCAATGAAAATAATTATTCTTCATTAACCTTGTGAAAAATATACGGAGTAATATATAAATATATGAATTGATCATGTGAAAAATAATATGTAATAATGTTTTGGGACTTAATGGTACAATCATTTGGATAGTATTAGTGTTTTAAAATATTTAATTTCAATATCATTTTGAATGTGTAATTTTATACACAAAGTATTATTTATGAATATTATATGAACAATTATTTTTAAATATATTCAATTTTTTATTGTTAAGTAATATAAAAACCAAGATTTCATACACACACACACACACACATATATATTGTGTGGTTATTAATATTACTATTATAATTTTAATTATCTATTATACTCATGTAAAATTACATATCATTGATTTATATGACTTAGATAGGATATTGGAAGAAGTCTCTCTACTTTTGACTAAGGGTAAGATATTGTTTGATTCACGACTTAGATAATTTATTATATGTATTTAAGGTGAATATCTATGGTGTACGTGATTATAACTAGTTTAAAGTATTGTAGGTTAGTTGATAAATGTCAAAAAGGCGAGAATGGATGGGAAGACGTTTGATGGAAAACGGGTGGATTAATCCGGAATTTTTATACGGTGTGGAGGAGTTCATTAAAGTGGCATTTGAAGATAACCAAGATATGGTAAAGTGTCCATGTAAGAAGTGTCGGTTAAGATTATTTTGGGCTTCAACAAAAATTATTCCTCGACTTATTGCAAGGCATTTATATGGTCCGACGATAGGTATTGAACGTAGGGTACCTGATTATAATCTAGGTTGTTATGAAATGTGTCATTTCGTGGATGCGTTCGTCATTCTTCCTGGAGGTGTGGAGACCATGGAGGGGTTGTTCTCTATAATCTCATGGGCCTGCGATGGGATTCACACCAAACCGATTGGTCTATTGAATGTGAAAGGGTATTTCTATGGCTTGTTGAATTGTCTTGATCATTGTGTGTCACAAAATTTTTTGGAATGCGTCCAGAGAAGGTTGTTTATTTCTTCTCTCTTTGACGCTGAATTGCTAGATAGACTTGAATTTGCAATAGCTTTTCCCGGCACTCATGCTACTTATGAAGCTCAAGTGAATTCTGGTGAAGTCGATTTAACACTGCATTTGTAAGATAGGAATAAGTAATTGAAGTTTAGTCCTTCAGACAACCACTATGGTTAATTTTGTTTGGATGTACGTTATTCACTTAATTTTGTCACTCTTTGGCTTTGTATTTGTAATGCTGAATTCTATTTTGTGTTCATTTATAAATACGTAATCTCTTTAATAAGATATCTGCCTTTGATCATTTTTACATTGAGTAAAGTACATGTTTTTTGCCAAATTCCCTTCTGTAATATGCTGCTGTAATATGCTGCTCCTATTTTTGTATTTTTTGTAGCATTTGTTCATAAAAATAATTCATCTTCAAAGCTGAAGAAACTTGGAAATAGATAAAAATGTTTAGCTCATCACCACTGTTGATAATATTTATATTCTGTTTGTAAGTGGTACACTCTCTTTATCCTTGTGTGGGCAGGATTATCTAGAATTGAGTGGGCAAGATTATCTAGAAATAAGCAAATATTTAGTTCTATTGTTACTTCCTGGCTGATTATAGAAATTACATATTTATTAACCTTGAAAATGGCTATATTGAGTTTCCAGTTAATGTAAAATAAATTTACAAAAAAGTATTACCCTCTCGCAGGAATTCTATACTATTGTAATCACCTCTTTATTTTTTTATTTGGATTAAAGTACTATCACAGGATTTGAAGTGCCACTAATTGGCATTTTCACAATAGTGTGCAGCGAATGTGGTCTAACTTTTAGAGTGTAATATAAACTGACACTGGAGTTGAGGGAATACATTGGAATTAATTCATCTGGACACATAGTGAATCTTTGTGAATTTTATACTTGAACTTTTCTAGCTTCAACAACTCTTCTGAATTATCTTCATTGTCCCTATTTTTGAAAACAGAGAATAAGTGGTACACTCTCTTTAAAGAGTAGTTGAAACTTGATCTATCTAGAATTTTCAAAACAGGATTATCCTCGTATGGGCAGAGGGGGAGAGAAGCGGGGCACTCGGAAAAACCCCGATTTTGATAACACATGGCTTAATGCTCTTTTGGAGAGTGATTTAAGTTTCAGGGCTGAATGGAATTCAAATAGTGTAGTTTCTTCCATACCTCTTCAAAATGAAGAAAACACTTCAATTGCCCCTTCTACAAATCACTTGGCACATGGTAGCATTGGTGGTTCGCAATCTCCCCTTCCCATTGCTGAAACACAAGGAATGGAACCTCCAAAACAAAGGGAGGAAGAAAGAAATGAAGATGAACGAATGGTTATTGTCCCCGGGGAGTAAGAGATTTACATTGTGTATTAATTTATTTTATCATTGTTTTTTCTATCATTTACTTTAATATCATACTATGTTTGTAGTTTTTCAGTGAATAAAACTGTTCGTGAAGAAGTCAAGCGCATCAACAAAAGGTTGTTTGACGGAAAGGCCACTAGATTCTTAGGCATCCAAAATGCTCGAGATATATATTGGGAACAACTTGAGGCAAGATTTTTTATAAATAAAATAACATGGTGATACATTGTATTTTACATCTAAATCTTGTTACTTAATGTGATGTTAATCTACCTTTATTCAACAGCAACGTTTTAGATGGGCTCCTGAGCATCACTCTAAAGTTTGGAAGAAGTATTTTGGATTGGTTGAAAGTTCATATCGAAGAAAAATGAATCGAATTCGAGCAAATATTATAAAGAAATCAATCCCAGATTTTAAACCAGAAGAAGATTATTCACGTTTAATTCCATTTCGACCTGAGGAAATAGGGGAGCAAAATTGGAGAAATTTATGTGCTGTTTGGAATACACCAGAGTGGAAAACAAAATCCAGAGCGGGTTTGAAAAATCAGAGAGGCATTGTTCTTGAAGAAATTATTTCTTCATTATTTTTTTTTTACTATTTTGTTATGGTATCCTCTTAGTTAATTGAGAACATTTATACATTTCAGAAATAAGCTAACATTTATTATTTCATCATTCATTTACATGTAGGCAAGCTACTTGATGGTGATGTTACAGCAAGAAGTTCATTGGGCACCAAGACAAAGTCTCAATTACTACAAGAAATTGTAAGAACATGCAGTAATGTCTATGTCGTTAACTATTATTCACCAAATGTTCTAATATACTTTTTTATAGTCTGCTCAACTTGGTCGTCCATGTCGCTTTGATGAGTTATTGCTACAAATGTGTACAAATTCGAAGACAGGTCGACCATTTCAGACTCGCCATTATCGAATTTTTGTAAATCACTATGTACTTTTGTGTTTAATTTTTCTTGTAAACAGGCATGACTAAAAGCCCAAGAGCAACCTGAGCTGCTGCTCAGGGCCCGGGTTTGGTAGGGGCCCACTTTTTTAGTTACTCCAATACTTAACAAGTTGTGAATTAATTTTGTGGCATCATAAATGTTTTTTAGGACAATTGGCTTTTCACCGCACCTCACAGTACTAGAAGATTAAAATTGAACCTAAGTACTTTTGATATTTTATTCTTATTCTAATTTTGTTTTTAGATCATTATTTAATTATGTTTAAAAAGACATGATTTTTAAAAGTTAGAGCATAAAAAGAAAAAAATTAATTTTATCTCTGGGCCTATAAATTTTAAGAAACGATCCTGCTTTTAAATGATATATATTTGACATTTTAACAGGAAGACTATTGTAAAATTCTGTGTGCAAAAAAAGGAGAAGATCGGGGTACGTGGCCAGTCTTTGATAGAGATGCTTGGATTCAAGCGTCAGGCGGAGTGCAAAAGGGGGATCAATGGATAGGTGTCCCATTGCAATTTTCAGACCCCGTGGCATTCCATCCAGCTCGTGAGACCCTAAAGGTAAAAGTTGTTTTTTTGTAGTTCTTCATGAACAGAAAATGTTTACACTGTGTTATCTTATAGAAAATGAAAAGTGTGAGCTTTATTTAATTAAGAAATGACACAACATATTAGTAAAATCAATTTGTGTGTCTAGATAGGACCATTTAATTAAGTCTTTCACCCTAAATATGATCACTTGTTCTAACACTTGTTATTCTCACATTGACTTGGTACTGGAGATAAAGCACTAATGTGATTCTTGTGAACAATATTGACATTTTTGAGTTGTATGAGTGTATCTATTCTTTTTTTTTACATTGCAATTAATTTACTTATGTGTTATATGTTCTTGGAAATGTTATGTAAGGAGAATAAAAGTGAAGTTGAGCGTCTCAAAGAAGAATTGAAGGAGAAAGATGTAACAATGAAAGCAGAAATAGACAAATTACAAAAAGAACTCGACAAGACAAAAGGGCTTCAACAGAAAGAAAGAAAACGCCGTCGTGAGGTGGTTCAAGAGCTGGAAGATTTTAAGAAAAGGTTCCATTCTTTGGATGCTTCAATGTCCAATATTCATCATAGACTATTAAAAAAAGGTCTAATCGAAGAGTGTGAGATAAATCCTATGTCAGTAGCCAATGGATCTAGAAGCCAGAATAAATCTTTCCGCCATTCAAAGACGAGGAACTCGAGAATTCATAGTCAATTTAAATCAGTGTGTGACGATCGCACTAACTCAATTGATTCATTAAACTCAACCTCTGATGAAGAGTCTGATTAGAAGGTGAGGACCTTTGAAATTTAAATGAAATAAAAATATTATTATATTTCTTTTATTTTACTATCAAGTGTGTAATATTCTTGTATCGTATTGATGAAGGAGACTCCCATTTCACTTCGAGAAGCTAAGATACTGAAGGTCAGAATTCATTAATAAATTAAATCAATTGTTGTTCTTCTCTAAATTCTGTTTTTTTTTTTCCTTAAAAAAATAAGCATCTCTTGTGATTGACGCATGGCTATTAAAAAAGTACTCAATTCGTTTTGGACTTGGAAATTCACATCTTCATCCTTATGGTTGGTTATTAACTTGTTGGAAAAATTTGCATTACAATTTTACATATTTAGTTAATAATGCAGAATCACATGGGCTATAATACTTTTCATGTTTATTTTAATGGACTGTTTTGCTTGAGCAGGTATTATATGTTGATGGTGTTGCAGCTCGTTTTACTACCTTGGACTAGGCAATAGATTGTGCTAATGAGATGCTTGCAATTTGGACTAAGCAAATTGTTTTTGTTGGTTTGAACCACTTTGTCAATTCTATTATGCACTCTTGTTGGTTTCTTAATTTTGTTGATGTAAAAACATATTCTCTAATGTTTTTTTATTTCTTATTGAAGAAATGAATGTGTGTATGGTTGTTATTAATTGGTATGTAAATCCCCCCTTTGGTGTCCCACACCCCCACTCCCAAAAAAATAATACATAATATTTTATTTTTTTTACATTCAGACTTTGAGAGACAGATTTCTGTCTCAAAACTAAGCAGCCATTTTGCTACCCGCTGTAGATATTGAGACTGAAATTCAGTCTCTTGCTTTCGTCTCATTTCCGTCTCTCATGCCAGGAAGACGAAAAAAATGAGACAACTTGATCCGTCTCTTTTCTGTCTCATAATAGAGACTAAATTGAGATGGAACTCCCGTCTCTTTGAGGCTCACATTCTTGTAGTGAATGCATGTTGACAATAGTGAAAACAATAAACCACGGAGAACTGAATATTAGTTTTACATACTTACTGTAACTTGTTTTATATATATTTTCCGTACTCAAGATATTGTTACAAGGTTTACTTTTCCTATCTAAACAATAATGTATACTTTGTCAGAAGACCCGATCACGGGCCCGGGTATCCGGCCCGCCCGCAAAATAGCGGACTTGGGCTTGACATTTTAGGGTACGGGCCGGGCTTGGGCCTTATAAATTGGGGCCCGAATATTTTAGGGCCGGGCTCGGGTTTATGCTCAAGCCCACGGGCCGGCCCGGCCCGAATAAATTAAATATTTATTATTAATATAATTATAATAAAATAAAAATAACAACATTAATAATAATAATAAACAAACCTATTTCAAATTATTATAAACACACATACATACTTCTATGGAGAGAAAAAAACTATAGGTATATATAATAAAATGAATACATCTTTACTACTCCGTATTGTTTGCAACGTATCACACATTCATTATGACATTCTAATAGATAATATTTTGTACTCCATACATAGTAGCAATATCAAACAAAAATATTTATATATCAATTTTTCTTTCATTTACTCATAATAGTTTTTATATCAAATATCTAATATATTAACCTCTTACTTTTTTTAAAAAAAATATTATTTTTAAATTATTTAGAAGTTTTTTTCGGTCGGACCGGGCCGGCCCGAAACCCGCGGGTAATCATGCGGGCCGGGCTTGGGCTTCAATTGTTAGGCCCGTTATACGGGCCGGGCCGGGCTCGAGCCTAGAAAATTTTCGTAAAGTAGTGTCTCGGCCCGGCCCGAAACCCGGCCCGGCCCGCACTTTGATCAGGCCTATTTGTCACTAAAAAAAACTAATCTAAAGCATAAGAAGTTAAATAATTAATTAAAGTTTATTTAAAACAATGAAATGGCCGAAAATGAAATAAGTAGATAAAATGAATATACATGTTACTTTGCAAGAAGAAATCTACGAAATAAAGTGTTTTGATTCAACAGGGGACGTGAACCATTAAATTATTTCAAAATGCTTTATAATTGAAAACATAAAAAAGTGTTTTATTTAAATGACCGTACTAGGGTTAACCAAACATTTAGTGGATGAAGTAAAAGTTTCAAGATTTATATATCGACGTACTTTGACCAAGTACTGTCACGTTTTTATCAAGTGGGTCAAACCACTTTCAAGGCCGGACCGTGTCCATGTGGATGAGCCTATAAATAATCATACCACAACGTGCGCACGAGAACCCAATGATGACCCCGTGGGTCTAGGGTTCACTTCTGATTACTAGACCCGAGGTCATGGGGAGGTATCCGAAGTAAAACTACGAATCGACTAGTGCGGGATTCCAGCCTAGTCATGGCTTAGTCTCTAATTTGTGGTTAACCTAGTAGGTCAAGAGTTTTCTAAATGTCTCCAAGTATCTATTCAAAGTGAAATTTTTCCCCGATGATTTTAATTATGCGAAAAGTTTTTTTATATAAAAAAACAAAAATTAATAACTTAAATTCCCCAAAATATATTTACATGTTATATATGTCTACTGTTTATTTGTCACTCAGCTTATGCTGAGCGTGTAGTGTTTAACTGCACGCAAGTACTTGCAAGGAGAACAACTGCTGAGGAGGAAAGCTTGGACGTGGAGGTCGTGCTAAGGAAGGAAATTCTGTTTTAAATAAATGAATGAATAACTTATTGAACATATTTTGGTTTGGGCTTGGACCCCAAGTTGTATTTACCTATGAACGTTATTGCTCTTTTACTTACTCGCAAATCTTCAAACTCTTCATTATCGAAATGAGAATTTATTTTAAATAAGTAATGTTTTACTAAGCAACTGAGTTTTACTAGCACTATGGACTAGATGACTCGGGTCATCCAGGGTGGGGTGTTACACCTACCACCTGGTCGGTAGAGGCTACCGTGACAGCCTTCCGAAGGGGACTCCAGCTGACACGGTAGGTACCCCCGTATCGTGGGGACGGTACCCTGGTACCGTGGGGTCGGTAGCCCCTACCACCAAGGGTGCCGTGTTGTAACACCATAATCCGTCCAGGTCTGCAGCCCCTTTCAGACTAAAGTATTAACTTGGTAATCATAAAAATTTAAAACTTTTCAAACACTTTTATTTATCATAATAATATCTATAACATATACAGTACGGAGTATTCAACAATATTGCGGAAGCGAATTTAATATTGACACATCATAATTCATTTCAAAACTTATCACATCCATCCCGACAATCTCGCCCCATCTGCTGCCACGATCACACTGTTCTTTCTGTTTACCTGCGTGTAGCAAATAAAACACACTACACGCTCAGCGGTAAAGCTGGGTAAGCATATCTAATTCGTCGAACATCCATATAAACTGAATCTAAATTCATAATCAAATCATTTGATATCATGCACACAATATTCATTTTAGACATTCAAGTTCTGATATCATTTCTATTCATATCAACACATTGTACTTAATTCGGATATTGTTTCAACAATACTCTTAAATTATTCTTAGTCTAAGGCATAATAAAAACGACGCTCTTAGCCATTCTTAGTCTAAGGCCAGATCATAACAACGCTCTTAACTATTCTTAGTCTAAGGCCAGATCATAACAACGCTCTTAGCTATTCTTAGTCTAAGGCCAGATCAGAATTTCATTCTCAGACGCTTAAACTATGATTAGTTTAAGGCAAACAATCCTCAGACGCTTAAACTATAATTAGTTTAAGGCAACAATTCTCCGACGCTTAAACTTTAATGAGTTTAAGGCAACAACAATCCTCGGACGCTTAAACTACAATTAGTTTAAGGCATAACGAAACAGTTATTCAGTCATCACAAGTCCATTCTAACATGAGGTCTATCTTAGAGGTCTTCTAGATAGCCTTAACATCAATTATCTTAAATGGATATATCTTAGAATTCTTCAAGATGTCCTTAACAATACACATCATTTTCCTTGTTTATCTACTTATTCATTTTGAATCATAATTCATTAATCCAAAATAATCATTTAATTCAAAATAGTCAAACAAACATATCTATCCACGATTTCACTGTTACGGTTCATTCGTTTATTTCCATACTTTATTGTTTTGTCAGAATAAATTCATTATCGTTGTGTAGTCATAATCGCTAGGGTCGTCCATTTGATCTTCATAATCAATATTTAATATCAATGATGTTCCAATATTTTTTTATCCATTATAATAATCATTTATTCAGAATATTATCAAGGTTTGATCATAATAGTCATCATAACATTTATTAACAAATAGCGGTCTAACAAGTGTTTACACCTAGCTTACCGTCATGTTGGGAAACGAGGCTTGGATAACGCAGCGGAAAACAAAAATTTATAGTCCAAAACTCGATTCCACCCAAGAATAACTTACGTAAATTACTAGCTATAGTAAGAAATTTACCTTAACGGTGAAAACGGAGAACGGAGGAACGGTCGGGGATGGTTTTGAGGAGATGAACGTAGCGCCAAACGTATGAAGCCTCCAACGTATCCACACGAACTTGCTCCGGAGTCCAAGATTAAACTTGTGCTAGCAAGTTTAATATAGGATAGTAAAAACTATAATAATACTACTTTGGGAGTAATAAATATATAGTAAAATATTTATCTTATAAATATTTCTTTATAATATTTTGTGTATATTTCTAACACTTTAGAAAAATAACTTTGAACACAAAATATAATTTTCTTCTCTCTAAAATTGGGATGGCCGAAAATTTTGAGATATATTTTTCAAAATCAAGACCTCATTTTATAATAAAGTATATTTAGGAAATTGCTAGGAAATTAATGTTAAGCATAAGTCCATGTATATGTCTTAACACCATGTGTAAATGTTTAATATCTTAGCTACAAAACAAAATAGAATCCCTACATCAAATAATAATCAAATATATTAATTTGACATTAAAAA